TTAGCGAACGTAAATTATGATAATAATTTCACAGTAATTGCAACTACTGGCGAGTCAAGTCTAATGAGGCTACTAGAAGCGAATACATTAAGGTCACGTAGAAGACAGCCTTTTTTTTATATCTGTCTCTAAGTCTTTAGCCGTTGTGTGCTGATTGGGTCCTTCCAGTGAATAATATATCACAGAAAAGTTTAATAAATATTTATATAAAAATCTTAATGTTAAATAATTTAAATTATACTTTAGTAAGCCACTTGATAGGTAGTGTTAACACTAAAGTTTAGCTATTAACTTGATCCGGGTAATGACCCACATACAGAGAGTAAAAAAGGTTAGAAACATAAAGTCAATCAAACCGAGATCAAGGATAGTCGTCGCGGCCTACCGCGGTTAAGAGCATAGTATTAAGAAATACACAAACACTAACCTCTACACATATAACATGTACATACACATAAACAGACTACACAAAAAAAATTATCTGAAGATGAAGCAATTAAAAACATTTCAACTAATTTTTTAAAGGAAAACAATATAAAACAATTTTGCAGGTGCAGTGAGGGTATTTAGTATCAAGGTCGTAAATGGCCGATATACCAGATAATGTCAAGTGCACTTCCCAAACTAAGTAAGATCATCTTGTAAATGTCTTTAAACCCCTCTCATAGGTCAAGGAGATGCAATTGAAAGCGGGCGATTAGCCGACGGTGGAGTAACTATTCTGGTCTCACGAAATCTACCGCACCGCCCGATCTACTCTAGCACAATAACACAGTATACACAACACCTAAGATACAATTTAAAACACACGATACAAAAAAACGGTATACGGAAAACACAAATAGAACAACAAAAAAAAATAAACATAGATTACAAAAACATGTTGTATTAAGTATTAAAGTACACAACCATAAAACGTATATAAACATAAAAATACAAACACAACACAACACAAAACCGAAAAACAGAAAACATTAACCCTTTAAATTTTCACAGGAAAGTGATCTGTGATTAATCCAATAAGAAACCTGAGAAAATTTAGAGGGTTAGTATTTGTGTTTCTGTTTTGTGTGTATCTTTGTGTGTATGTATATGTGTATTATGGTTGTGTACTTTATACTTAATATATTATACGGTATTTTATTTGTAATCTATGTTTATTTTTGTTTTTCTATATTTTTTTTGTGTTTTGAATTGGGTCTTAGGTGTTGTATGTACTGTGTTATTGTGTTACACTCCCAAACCTAAAGGGCGTGGAGGCAGTGGGGATTCTTCTCAACTTGGTTGACATGAGACATACTGACGTGATATCCGTCTATAAACCCCCTGACATGGTGCTGCTTACAAGTGATTCGGCTAAGCTGCTACCACGCGGCTTGGAGCAGTCGAGTTAAAAATTCGGAAATACGCGGACTTATACTGCATTCGCTTGCTGGCACCTTAACGTCCTGAAGTACATGGCAAAAACGGACGATTCACATGTCCTCAACCTACCCATTTTAAAGGCTTACATTCACTCGATATCAATCGCAGAGCTGCATGAGCTCTCATCGGGCCGCCTGCCCGTCTTATTGGAGTTAAGCGAAGGCATGGCTCTGACTTACTCTCTGTTAGAGGAGGAAGTTGATAGTTTTAGTGCGCACTGACAGTTACCCATGCTACCGCGAAGTCGCATACCGCCCTGGCCATCTACCGGGTTATTTGATGAGCTTATTCATAAATGTCGCCAGTTAATATATGCCTGGCTCCTGCTACACAAAACCCCGGCGACAAACTGATTATAGACCGTTCTTCACGGACACATTAGAAAAGAGCTGGCCACTTTTCAAAATAATCTCCGGGAAGCGAAACTGCAGGTCCTGTTTGTAGTGGTCGCGGGAGTACGGCCATCTTTTTGACGCTTCGTCAAACGTATTAAAAATCGTTGCCACGCGCCACCTCCACCACTTAATAATGGCGTGATAGTGGTGAAAAGCGACGTAGACAAGGCGAGACTCGTTGCCGACCATCTAGTGCCTCACGGTATATCTCTAACTTCAGCAACCTTTGAAGACGAAGGCTAAACCCGCAAGTTCCCCAGATTATTGTAGATGGGCTTATTAAACCGAGATCGCCTGATTAATCATTGATATAGTTACTACACTTTCACGAAGGAAAGTATTCGGCCTCACAGTATTACTAACGAAACGCTAAAAGACTGCCGCCGGTGGCGATTAATCATCTCTCCTGTCTTGCAACTTCTTCAATGTCGCTTGACTTTTTCCCAACGCGATGGAAAATGGTCACTGTCGTGATGTTACCTAAAACTCCGAGGGCTTTAGTGGAATTCAGCAGATATTGCCCCATTAGCCTTCTTTCAGCGGCGGGCAAAACTGTGGAGGCAGTTCCCCTACAGAGACTGAAAGAGTTTGTAGAAACACAAAGCGCTCTCTGAATTTTAGCCACTCGACACTACAACTTTTGCGCTGTGTTGAGTGGGCAACTCGGAACTTCGACTTTAAGTAATCCACGAAGCTCGTATTTCTCGGTGTTGAAAAACCCTTTGACCGCGTATGGCACGAGGGTTTCCTGCGCAAACTACGCACATTAGGTACTCCGTTGGCCCTCTACAGCAATTTTGCGTCGTTTTTACGGGGACACACCTTTCATATGAGAGAGGTGGCCGCGCTGCCACCGTATCGTCTGCTCATCGCTAGTGTTTCGCAAGGCTCTCCGCTCTCGCTCTACTCTTCGCGATATATATGCGAGAGATTCCACTTCCCGCGAACCCTTAAACCCGTGTTGCATTTTATACTGTTGACACTGCAGTTTAAACGTCCCCAATGAGTCACTCATTGTTACGCAATACCTACAGAGTTATTTAGGAACATTTGCTAACTGGTGTCGGTAGTGGAGAGTAAATACTAATAGATCGAAGTGCACAGCAATCCTCATCTATAAAAGATGCATCAAGCTACCCCCGCCTCCAACCCTGAAAATGTTAAGATCTGATGGGGCTGTCAGGTCAAATGCTTGGGCGTCATCATCGGTAAGCGACTAACTTGGAAGTAATACGTAGAGTTCGTTACGGCTAAGGCCAAAGCAGCAATTCACGCACTCTACCCGCTGCTGTGTGCTAAAAGCGCTATTTCCCTGCGCTATAAACTGCGCCTTTAAAAAGTATGCGATGCGCCCTGTTATGGCCTACTCATCTGTTGCTTAGGCATACGTAAATCGCCGATGATTGCACCCCTCTAGACGCAGCAAAACAAGCTCCTGCGAGTAATGACCGGCGCACTTACTTCTTGCGAAACGATACGTTACATGATGACCAGGTTTGAAACGACTTGAAGACTTTTTTCCGAAATGCGACTTCAGTTTCTTATGATATTTTGTAGGCATCCAAACCACCGTTGGATTCAAGACGAACACTGGAAAGGCTCACTCTTTCGAGGCCCCGCGTTGGCCTTAAGAGCACATTACAGTTTTTGTTATACCTTTTACACAAATGTAGGAAGTTTTGTGAGATGACCCGCCAAAATTATTTGTAAGGTTAAGCGGTCTATGCCCGATATTACGACATCTGCACAATTCATTTGTAAATAAAAAGGAAAGAGGAAAAGCTTTCTTGGTTCGGTCCCCAGAGTGGGCGTGGACGGCTGTTCCACCTTTAATAAAGCATTTTTTGTTTTAAACCTTTTATTTTTCAGTTTAATTTATAGCACGTGTGTGAGTAAACAGGTTAATTTAACTACTATCGTTTTTACAAATATGGCAAGTACTGGCTTTTACTTCTTACATGGAACAGCCAATAAAAATACATTTAAACCGGTATTTTGTAAAGGTTTTTTATATGGCTTTAATGCCATGGCAAAAGTAATTCCTGTTTTCTTCGTTCTCGATTTTGAAGCGCGAACTCAATGTCGTGGTTCGATTCCACCAACACGACCCTCTTTTCTGGTTTTAACGGTCGTGTAAAGAACCTTGCCCTCTCAAGCTTTACTAAAGAAAAATTAAAAAGGGTTTGCTCCTCCACGTGACTTTTATATAATCTCATCTTTTAGTCTTCCTTAAATCGCCAGTAGTTACGTAAGGGACAGAATTTGCAAAATCAAACTATAAAGTGAAACAGGCAAAAATGATTTTTATAATTTGGGACAGATATTCTCAATGCAACAGCAAAAAAGTCGGATATGTGCGCAATTTCTCTTCCAGGACCCTTTTTTCTTCTCGTTTTCGGTCACGTGACTGGCGCTTAAAAAGATAGCATGGGGGTGTGCTTTCTACTCTCCTGCTTGGCACAGGTTTTTGCTGTCAGTGGAGAGGGTGTTTTTCTCTTGTTTTTGATTTACTTGTCTTTTACCATTATTATTCGTAATCTATAACTTTTTTTTTCTTTGAAAAAATTAGTTATTTGTCTTCTTGCCACCTATACACTCTCATAAAATTAAAGCCACTCTTTTTTATATACTATTCAGCTAAAAAGCCTCAATCTATTTTAAGTTTTCAGAATTCTCGAAATAATTTTTGTAAGGTATTTTTTATAATTTTTGGTGGATTATAATAATTAACTATTATGAGTTGGAAATTAAGATAATTTTTTTTTGCTTTCAACTTTGTATTTTTTTCTAATTTTACAAATATTAGCTACGGATAAAGCATTATATTAGTTTTGAGCTCAAGCTATTCTAATTAGCATGTGCTTATACCCTAAAGTTTATACACAGTCTAATATTAATATAAATGATATAAATGGGCACATACACTCTGATGAAGGGACTTTTATACCCAACGGCACTACTTCGGATCGTAAAGATTTTTTTGCTCATCATTATAATTCTAAAGATTTTATGCTGAAATTTATTTCGGAAAAACACGTAAAAAAGGATGTAAATGCTTTTTTTGTTGTTGATATAAGTGAGATTTATAATAAGGTTTTTTTGTGGTTTGAAAAGCTGCCACGTGTTAAGCCATACTATGCCGTGAAGTGCAATTCTGACTCTTTCATATTAAAAACAATGATAAGCCTCGGTTGTGGTTTTGATTGTGCTTCGAAAAATGAAATTAAGAAGGTATTAGAGCTGGGAGTCAAACCGGAGAATATTATATATGCCAACCCCTGCAAACAAGACTCCTATATTCGATATGCCCGGGAGGTAAATGTGAAGATTATAACTTTTGATAATGCCCATGAACTTATAAAAATTAGTCGATTATTTCCTGATGCTGACTTGGTTATTAGAATACTTACAAACGACGAGCATTCCCTATGCCAGCTTGGCTCTAAGTTTGGAACTCCCCCGTCTGCCTTGTCTCCACTTTTTAAACTTGCAAAGCAGCTGAAATTAAGAATTATAGGTGTAAGTTTTCACGTAGGAAGCGGTTGCTTTAGTGCAAAAGCATTTGGCGACGCAATCTCACGAGCAAGGCTAGTCTTTGACCTAGCCGAAAAACTTAGTATGCCTTTACGCGTTCTGGATCTTGGGGGCGGTTTTCCTGGAATAGACGAAGTTATTACTTTCTCTCAAGTTGCCTTAGTTATAAACCGGGCTTTAAACAAGTACTTTCCCTTTGTTAAGTTCAAAGATTTATCTGTAATCGCCGAGCCCGGTCGATTCTTCGTTACCACTTCACACTCTCTGGCTGTTAACGTGATTGCTAAGAGAACTTGCTTGTATCCAGTACAACGTAAGACTTGTTTAAACCACCCTCATCACTTGTTTAATAAGGATATACTTCTTTTTTAGGCAGGGTAAGCGATTCTTTGGAAGTAGATTCCTTAGAACTTGATAACGAAGACAGCCACGTTCAAACTTTAGAGAAGACTAAGTTGGCGCCCCCCTCATGTATGTACTACGTAAATGGTTGTCTTTCTAAAATCAAAAGTATGTTATGTGCTAACTGTGCATATACAGATGGGGTATATGGTTCGTTCAATTGCATAATATTCGATCACGCCTCTGTCAAGGCCGTGCCGCTTTGCAACCAATATGGTTCTGAGTTTCCAGAACACTCTGAGCTTCGGTCATGCAGCATCTGGGGGCCCACTTGCGATGCGATGGACTGCATATTGAAAGATGCGCTGTTGCCAGAAATGGAAGTTGGAGATTGGATCCTTTTCCCTAACATGGGGGCCTACACCACCGCCGCGGCTTCCACTTTTAACGGCATGGAGGCTCCCGACGTAGTATACGTCGATTCCCGCTTTGCTGTTGAATACGCTTGATCCTTAACTCTACTTATACACGTAATCATGACTCCACACTGGAGTATAACTTACGTAAAAAAGTTTAAATTTTAAATTGTAGACCGAGGAAAGCTAAAGGACCTTTTATTACGCATAAGGGTGTTAAAGAGCGGTTAGCCGAAAACATCATTTTCATTGGATCGAAGGCACAGTATCTGAAGGATCCCAGCTCCTTTAGTTGCTGTCCGAAGACAAATTTCCACTTTTCTCCACATTCCTGGCTCGATTAAGCATATCTTTATAAAAAAGGCTAATAATATTGTATGACGGCTCACGACTTTATACAAAATTATAAGTTATGCACACACTCCTACGTCCGCCGTCGCCGTTACTCTTGACAATTAAAATAATAGCGGGCTTAGTATATCGTATCCAAATGCTTTAGATAGAAAATCACTAAAGTATATTGTAAACTTGCCATTTCCACCTCCGAGTTGACTTCGAGATGCTCGGTTAAAACTACTAGAGCTTCAAGCTGATCTTTAACTAACTTAAATTGGACAGGAAAATTTATTTGTATCCTTATCTTGATTATATATAACGTACCAATTATAAATAAGACAAAGAAAAGTCAAAAAATTGTAACTGTGTAAAAAGAATTATCAGCTTAATATGGACACACCTGAGCACGTTCAATGGGCATCGACTCTTTTAAGAGTTTAATGACTTCCAAAGCCTATAAATCAAATACCGGTGACCAAGAAATCTAAAGATTTTAAAGATTAAAAAAGCCTGTAATTTAGCAGGCCTCTGCGGTTTCACAGAGAAGTGCGCTTGTTTCATGGCATTTTCTATAACTGTCACAGGGTAAGGCTTTTTTGAACCAGGATCCACAGTTTGGTTAGAAACCAACTTAAGACAATAACAATAAGGTTATGAATTAAAGTGCTAGATCTAATAATACACTAGCTATTTCCTTAAAAGACGATTCTAATGCAGCTTGGCGCTCCTTTTCAGAGACTTGCAAAACTCCCTTCCTTAAAATCTGTAGCGGCGAAATGTTAGCACTGAAAAAAGGCATAAATAAGAAATAACCTTTATAAATATAAAAAACAAGTGTCAAAAATCACCTCTTCTATTATCCTCTGTTCTTCGAAGGTCTTAAAACATTTTTCCAGATCAACCTTTTTTGCCACTTCTCCTTTTTTAAATGAGTGAATTCTTGCTTGAAATAATGTAGAAAAGATAAAATATTTAAACCTTTACTAACGTTTGTAAATATTGTACGCGTTTGTAGTACCTCGTCCAAGTCTGTTTCACTTTTGTAAATGATAGTAGAGGTAATTACATTAAAGTAACCGGCATATATAGAATTCCAAAATATTGACTAAAAAGTAAAGTTAATAACACTTTATTTCTCCAAGATATAACTTTGTTTTTGTAACAAGCCAATTCAAAACGTTTGCCACCCTTCTTCAGCCTCACTACCGCAACGTTGGTCAATCTTACCTGGTTAACGGGCGTAAAGACTGCAGCTGACATAATATAAAATTTAACTAAGTCGATAATTTATCTTCAACCAGATGAGTTGATTGTCATTTTAGCTCATTGGATAGAGCGTTCACGCGCTATACCAATGTGTTCTATTTTTTTTTCTAGCACTGGGATACTAGGCTGGCCTTTTTAAGACCTTAAGCCGCTGAACCTAAATCCCCCTCTTCTGCAGGGGTTGGGTCACGAGTGCCCACCAGTGTACGCTCTTTAGAGAGCTATAATGACTGCCCCGAAGGACAAAAAAAGCGGAAAATATCGAGCCCGGACTTCCGCGATTCGGTCTAGTGTGTTGGAAAACCGCGCTAAAAATCACCACTGAGAGAGGCGGCCTTAGGCACAAGATTCGAGACCGCCTGGACATACTCGCCAGCACCACTGCCAGCCAGGTCTCCTCGGTTATGAGCTCCTCATTAAGAAGGGAGGAACCCTGTTAATGTGTTCTATTTTTTCTATTATTGTTATTTATGGGACTGAATTATAGGAAACTAAAGGGTAGCACCAAAATAGCAAACACTTTTTTTCCCTTTTTTTCTTTAACTCGAAAGTTTTAGTGATGCTAGTTTTCTCCGGAAAAGGTTTTCACTATGATTAAACTATTGGTGTTTTAAGTCCTTCAATTTATTGATATTACACACACTTAGTTTCATAATAATTATAGTGCATTGTAATCTATACTTATTTTACTTAACTTTTATTTTTTTAACTTCAGACTTGTAAAATTAAAAATTTACATTTTCTTGACTATCGGTTTTGCTAACAGTTACGTTTCTAAGTTTAGCAAGTTTGTTATTGGGTTTTGGTATGATACAGTTCTTATTTTTGTTAGAAATGATCCGCTCATAAAGCCAATTATACTTGTCTTTTTTTCAACGTTATTGCTCTTAGTGAGATAAAGCCTATTCTCCGACGTAACAATAAAGGTACCTCAGTAAATTACATTTAAATCACCCTAAATTTTTATATATTTACTTTAGGCTTAGTTAAAACGGTTCATGCAGCACTATTTCTTTTTTTATGTTTTTATTTGCTAAATAGGTAGCTTAAGAGCCATCAAATAAACTAATACAGAATTTTTAGACTTTAACTGAATCTAGATTGTATATTTTTTGTACTTCATCTATATTATTTGACATTTCTGGATACATTTCTTGATACCTCAGCCTAGCCTATTATAGAGCATTCTTAACAACCCCTCTTCTCATAATTTAAGTTTTGACTTATTTTTAAAGGGAATAGCTTAATTTATTTAGAAAATTAGACTTTTAAGACTGTCATTAAATTAAATAATATGTAACAGTATTGACTTTTATTACAGCTGGTCCGATGTTTTATAAATACATATATTATCATCAATTATTGATTGATGTATTCATGCTTTCTAATTGAGTATGCCCGTATTGGCTAACCTACCATAGCTATTTCACGCTTAAAAAATATTTAAGTATTTGTTTAACGACCCCGCAGTCGCCTTTCCATTAGGTAACAAGATCTTCTCCCCTCGTTTAATACCCTTGCCAATTTTGAGTGTCTAATTCTTTTTACTTATTAATTAATTACTTTGTTGACATACACATATTACTAGAGCTAATATTATTTTTTCTATCTTTAAGTATTACTTCGAGTTTCAGGCGATGATAACTAGGTTATTAGCTGAAATAAATATCTAAAGCCTACATTAGGCTAGGCCAGTAAAATTAATGCAATATATAAGCAGAATTCAGGTATTAACTAAGGCCCTTAAAGAAAAAGGTATAACACCGAGCTATAAAAACCTTATCAATAATAGACTTTTAGCTCTTATCAACACCGATCGAGGTAATAATAGTATAAGTAGAAAAATCAAATACAAAAAAGCAAATTTTTAATATTTTGTAAAAACTGTCCTTTTAATAAAAAGAAAGGAAGGACTGCATGGCTTCCTCTTTGTTAGACTGCTACCAAGTGTAGTAAACCAGCAAGCCTAGAGAGAATTGCTTTTTTGACCAGATCATATTCTACGAGTACAATATAATTTCGGCGTTACACGCTCTCTCCTTGCTTGCGTACTTGGTTTGCATATTTGTGATTTACATTTCTTAATATCTGAGGTGGCCCTATCCAATTTAGGACTTTTGGGTTTGCACTTAAAAAATAAAATACTTTATACCTTGCTAAAGTTTCTGGTTCCGGTGTCATTTTTTTAACGTCTTAAGTTTTGTTGTCCTTCTGTAGAGCTTTAGTTCCAAATTTAGTTCTAACATTTAGTTCTTTCATATAATTTCATTGTTTCTTTTTTGATTTAGTTGATCTATAGTCAGACTTTAAACTATTTGTAAATTTTTACGGTATCTAACCGTGACACATAGCTGATACATGAAGTTTTGGTCTACAAACCTCGGCCCTGCAACGCATTTCTCTCACGAGCTATAGGTCGACTTCATTAGTAAATATTCTGCTTATAACATTCACCTCCACCGCCCGAGTTGGATGGAATACTTTAGATAGAGTAACACAAACCGGGTAATGGGAATTGAACCTACGACTTTGAGTTTGTGCGCCATTGCTCTAAACTGCTCAGCTTCGACGACAACCCTCAATCCCACTATGATGGGATTAAAGTGTTAAACCTATTTTATCATGCTTCTGCCTCTCTTTCTTCTTAAAGGCGGAAATCCTATGGAACTTTAAGAAAAAATACTTAGTTATCGCCGACAATGGTCGTTGCGAGAATATGGCGCATGATTTTAGCATAGACTAAGACACTTAGTACTTTAACCCCTTCTTTGGCAAAGAATGTGCTTCTTGCCAATAAGTGCGCTTAAACTTGCTGTGATGTGTTAAAGTACGCTATTTCCGCTTGGACATGTAACTTGTCGTCTACTGTTGTGGTACATACTGTGATGCTGTCGCTACATGTGCGCTTATACTTTAGGCGTAACAGCATTCTTCACGATTACCTGTGTATCCTATAAGTTGAAAAAAAATATCTTTAAAGGCAGCAGTTTCTGCGCATGAATAAATAGAGAACGCCTTAAAAATGCCATGGAGAACAAGAAGTTACGCTCTCTTAGCTCTTTATCGCGAACAATTTTTTTTTGGAATCCTTTTATTTTATTAGACATATGAGCTTTCAGAGTCAAAAGACAGCTGTGAGCGGGAGTGAATTTTAACGTTTTTTATCTGTCGGGCCTAATTTGTTATTCTAGTCCTTGTCTTGCTTAAACTATGTTCTTGTTTTTAACAATAAGTAGTATATAAATTCTTTAGACACTAAAAATAACGATTGCCATCCCTTTGCGCTGACTGACATGACTTATGCTTCGAAATTATGTTGGAGTTGATAAATAAAGAAATTATTTTTGTAAAGAAATTCTACAGAACCACTTTTTACTATTAGCCCAAAAAGAACTCCTCTCTGACCCAAATTAAGCAAGATAGCTCATTCTTTCACTAATTAAATCACTTAAAGAAGAAACTCTAACAACCCCTTCCTCTTGTACGAACTCTGTCGTCATTAACAATAACATTTTTAAGCCAAAAATTACACGCGATGGTAGAGCAATGCCTATAAAGCAAATAAGTATAAGTATTTGGCTATATTCCTAAAATGTACATCGAGTTTATCAACTAACATTAATGCTTTTGTCACTTTAGTTTTACGAGCTCTCTGTTGAATTAAAAGTCAAATCAACTTTCCGCATCTATGCCAAACTTATACTCAAACTAGGTTTTATAAGTTTCATTCCGAGGTTGCCCCGTTAGATACACCTTTTTCGAGTTAGCGTGAAGATGGCAAAGAATTTGCCGTTACTATCAGTCTTTTACTTAATATAGTCCTTCTTTGTGCCTCGTGTACATGTAGTGATCCTGGGCAATCTACTTCTTTTTATCTATCTTTTGTAAAAGTAAAAATTCGGATGTGTTTTGCTTTGTTACGTTGTGCTAACTCTAGAATTTACCATATGCATGTGTATCTATATTTCTTTATTTACTTAATTTGAGCATTATATCTTTGTTAATAAATATGACTTTCTGTTTGGAAATTTGCAATATTATTCGATAGTCCAATTTGCCAAGTGTTGCAAGGTAACGTTTAAAATCAGGAACTATCGTCAGCCATTTTAAAAAGGAACCGGCCTGCCAAGTCCGTAAACCACGTGTTAATTACAGGACTATAGGTACTGGTAGGTAAATATTTATTTACGTAGTATAGTCATATACTTAATAATATTTATAAACCTGGATAGAGGGATACAATAATTAGAATAATATTAAAAATTTCCTGTAGCTTTATCTTTAATTTATCAGAGGTGTTAGCCTACTTCAGGGGTTACATAATTACGTGCTTTGCAACTAGTTAGTAAACACTATGTATATAAGCTAGCTAAGGGCCCAGTTAAAAAAAGAAAAATTAATCAAGTGGTTGTGCGTTGGCCTTTCTTCTTGCGTTTAATATTTATTATACTTTGGTCACTAAGTTAAATAGTGGAAGTGCACGAAGAATATATGACGAAATATACACAAACGACCTACAGATACACCAAACAAAACTAAACCAATTAAAACATCAAAACTAGTATCTTCAAAATAAACGCGATTTTAAACTTTTTGGCAGGGACTATGTAAACCAAATATTTATTTTATGGGAAAAAAAATATGACAATTATCGACTCTGACACCTCTTTTAAACAAAACCGAATTAAACATGTTATTCAAATACATTTAGTCTAAATGAATAACATAAATGGTAATATTCCTTCAACCTCGTGTAAAGGTCTATAAACGGCTTGATTGCCGTAATAAAACTCCTTCCGTTCTCTTTTTTCCTTTTTTGTCCGTGTTACTAGAAGTTGTGAAGTTAACTCTGATTAACCACGAGACTCCGCACGTCTTCGCACGTGTTGTTTCCTGTCCCAGATTGTATATTACTTCTTTTACTTTCCTAAAAATATAATACCCTTCCTTTATAAGACACTAGATACACTAGATTAGAATGCTCTTCCTTTTTTTCTCCGTCCCAAATAAATTAGTTATATCCTTAATACCTATGTTTAGAGGTAATTTAAATTACATAACCCTCATGAACTTGAATGTAAACTATAATTGAGTTTATAAATACCAAAGTCGTAGAAATTTTACATAACTTCAGAATAGAATAAAAGCGTTTGTGTACAGCATAGTTAAAGCATTAGTTGTTAAAGCGAAAAAGTTGTGCGGTTTACAATAAATATAACCAGGGGGGGGGGGGGGGGGGTAAACTACCTAACTATTTTTAAAATGCTTTGATGGATAATTGAGTAGTAAATTAGGCATCCCCACTATCGCTCCCCTTAAACTTCAAAAATAATAAAAAAAAAGATATATTATGTACTATACAAGGAAACAGCCTGTTTGGGAAACGAAGTTTTAAAGTAATTAAAAAGTCCTTAATTGGTGCAGTATAAATAATGGGGCTCTCAATTTGGGGTGTTTTCCAGATTATGGGAAACCGCCATGGTAGCGCTGCTTCTTAAATGTACTCCTCAGATTCCATGCAATTTGTCATCCGTTAGTCTGTTGTCATACTAGGGCAAAATTTATGAAAAAGTTATTTTGCTGAGACTTAGAATTTGTACTTCAAAAAAAATGTGCTAACTCCTTGGCAGTATGTGTTTAGGGACATACGACACTGCAAATACTACGTATAGTTGGTGAAGTTACTAAAAGCTTCAACCTAAAAAAGCATCGGGCCACGTATTTCTTGACCTTGAGAAGACCCTGGCTATAATAAAGCTTATTGAAAGTTTTCCAATTTATTATCAAATAAAACGAGTATCTATGTAGCGCGCATAAAATGAATAGAGTACTTCAACGCTCCTTGCTGTCTCCTTTATGTTTTTTAATTTAAATGAAAGGCCTTTTAGCCATCAAAGACAAGCGCTGCACTTTTTGCAAATGATATGACCTTGTTGTCCATTTTTAAATCTCCGTTACTTTGCGCACGCCTTAATACTTAAGTCAATTAGGTCAATGAGTGGTATGATAGTAGAAACTTATTTTCATCTCTAAAAGAAATAAAACCACCTGTCAATTTTGTTGACACATGGTTCTGATCTTTCTTGGTATTCTGAGGCAAAATATCTTGGAGTGAATATAACAAAAGTTTTATATGCAACTTATCGACCGAAGATGCGAGATGTCACCGTAGCTCAGTGGTTAGAGCATTATCGCGCCTTCTCAGAGTCGCGGGTTCGAATCCCTACGGTGCCAACTTCCGTTTTCTTGGTTGTACAAACGTCCCTACAAAAAATTCCTGGTGGAATGTACAACAAAGTGGTACAACAAAATGATATGGGCGGCAACATTAAGATTACATGCTATACAAGGAGAAAAGGCTAACCGCGGGAGTAACATCTATAAATTGTGGATAAGGGTAGCGAGTCAAAGTGAAAAGCTCCAAAGATTTTTCCTACAATAAAATTACGTTCTCCGATTACTATTTAATGATACTCTCCAAAGATAAATATTTATAATAGGAAAATTTTGTATAAACTACTCTATTAATCAAAGTTTTCATTATTAACAGTTGGATAAAAATCCACCTTACTTGTAACAAACTTGGAACAAAAATTTTTTTTTATTAATGTTAAAAAAAAATACGCAAATAATAAGGGGGACCACACTGGTAGGCAATTTTATAAAATACAATTTTAATGGCGTGTTCGGGCTCTGCTTTCATCAAATACTCGTACCTATTCTAGTGCTAACCCTTATCAGACTTAAATAACTATATTTAACCTGTGCGTAAATCGGCATACCTTCAATTCAGTGTGTCGTTAAACTAAACCTAGAAAGCTCTTAAACTATATAGCTTTTAAAAAAATATGGATAAACACAAAGTTTCTTTAAGCTAAATTAAAAATTTCCATATTATAGCAGTGGAGGCCGTAGAATGCAATTTCGCACTACCCAACCTCTATTTTCTTTTCGAATATTTGTGCACATTTGCCTAACAGTATTGCTTAAAGAATCAGAAAGCTTAATCATAAAGTTTGAGTATAGGTAAACCAAACCATTTAGCATATTTTGCAAAATAAAAACCTAAAAGAAAGCCAACTTTATTAAAGTAACATTTTAATTGCTTATCTCAAGACCTTTTTTCATTTTAACTATATAACAAAAATAAGGTAATAGTCTATTTACTATTTAATGGTTTTTAAAATTTCAAGGATTACTTGCCGAACAATATTACTCAAAAATATATATTACTTGCACTGAGGGGAAGAACGTACATAATAGTAAAGATAAATATATATAACTTTAGTTTTCAAAGCAATTAATATATATCATTGTATTATTATTATAGTTTACTTAGTGCCAACTTTAGTCAGTAGTATAATAATACCAGCAAGGAGTCGATAGCTAAGTTTTAAAGTATACAAATATTCAATTTTATTTCATAAATAATCATAAAATATTGACCAATATAAAAAAAAAAATTAAACTTAAACAACAATTAACAATGTATTCCATATAAAAGTGTGAAAGATAAAAAACATTAAAGATAAGTAGCAAGAAAGTATCGTCGTCTTCCTAGCGCTATTTCTTATAATTCATACCCGCACTTACAAATGGGTTTGCAGTCTCGTGCTTAGCAAAAAGGGACTATTTATTTTAAAGCTGTGGCGAGCGGCACATCCTTTTTTTTGCAGACTATCTCAAGAAGTATGGGGTATGCTTTGGTAAGTTAAATACATCTTCAGTTCGTTTTTTCTAAGTTATGTTTTACTTTTAGCGCCCTCCTATCATTCTTTTGAAAGAGGGAACAGACACTTCACAAGGAAAAGCGCAGCTTATATCAAACATAAATGCTTGTGAAGCACTTGTAGACACCATTAGAACCACTTTAGGCCCTAGGGGGATGGATAAGCTCATTGTGGATGGAAAAGGTTTTTTATATATGACTAAATATTTTTTCCTTTTTATTCTTGTAACGCTATGACTAGGTAAGGTAACTATCTCAAATGACGGGGCTACCATCATGAAGTTACTAGATGTTGTCCATCCGGCGGGTCATGTCCTCGTTGACATCGCAAAATCTCAGGATGCTGGTTTTTTTATTATTAAAGTTTAAATTTTAATTTTTTTTAACATGAAAAGTTTATAATATGTACTATTTACTTCTTTTTCTTGCTTCCGTGAAATTTTTTAACAGAAATTGGAGATGGGACCACCAGTGTTGTACTGCTAGCAGGAGCTTTTTTGAAAGAATGTAAACCATTTATCGAGGAAGCTGTACATCCTCAAGTCATTGTGCGCTCTTTTCGGCTTGCCACTCAGTTGGTTAGTCTTGTTACTTTTTTTTAGTGTGTGCTTGTTATTACAATTCCAGTATGATGTGTCCGTAATGGGAATCTCTCCTAAATAATTTTTTTAATTGATAAATTTGAGGAGAAATTGTTAATAAGTTCTGAGGTTTAAGGAGCTTAAGATAGCCGATTTTTTGCTGAGTACAATGATTAACTTTTTTTACGATTATAGGCTTTAAATCGGATCGACGAAGTTGCTGTAAAACACTCTTTCAAGGATCCCACGTAATTTTTTATATATATATTTTTTGGATACCCATATTTTTTTCAGAGAAAAAAGAGCGCTTCTTGAGAAGGTGGCCTTTACGTCCATGTCCTCCAAACTTATTAGTACGCACAAAGAATTCTTTTCAAAGCTTGTCGTGAATGCCGTCTCTGTTCTGAATGCTGATCTTCCCCTGGATATGATCGGCATCAAGAAAGTTCCCGGTGGTTCTTTCGAGGTTCGCCTCTATTTTTTACTTGAATAAAATTATATTTTGTTTTTTCTGTTGTAGAGTTCTTTTCTGGTTCGAGGGGTCGCCTTCAAAAAAGCTTTTTCCTATGCAGGTTTTTCTACTTACTCGCCTGCTTTGTATAAGTTGTAAGTGCGAGGCCCTAGACTTCCCCTAACCCGCGCTCTCCTCTAGGATTCGAAATGGCTCCCAAAAAGTATGACAATCCGTTGGTTTGCTTGTTGAACATCGAGCTTGAATTAAAAGCCGAGCGCGATAATGCCGAAATTCGTGTAGACAATGTGGAGGTTGGGGTTCTTTCCTTGTTCTGTGCGTCTGTAGTCTCACCTTCTTTCAAAGGAATATCAAAGAATTGTCGATGCCGAGTGGACCATTCTTTACCAGAAGCTTCAAAGAATTGTTGAATCCGGTTTTCTATACTTGCTTTTCTTTATCCATTAGGTGCTACTGTTACTCTTTATTTTTATAATTAGGTGCCAAAGTTGTTCTTTCAAAGTTACCTATCGGAGACGTAGCTACTCAGTTCTTTGCCGATCGCGACGTTTTCTGCGCCGGTCGAATCCCCGACGACGATATGAGGCGAACGGCGAAGGCTTGCAGCGGTATTACTGACTGCAAAGGATTATTGGTGCCTCGTCACAGGTGCTGTTGCAGGCTCTGTCCAGACATCTGTGGGTAATCTCGGTCCTAGTCTCGGCCGTTGTGGATTGTTTGAAGAAATTCAGGTCCTATTACTTCTTTCCCTTTTACACTGCATAACTTTGAGATCCGCTTCTTCCGGGGTTAAAGATTGGTGGTGAGCGGTTCAATATATTTAGTGACTGCCCCCAGACGCAAACATGCACGCTCATTCTGAGAGGCGGGGCAGACCAATTTATTGCGGAGACAGAGCGGTCCCTGCACGACGCCATCATGGTAGTGAGGAGAACCCTAAAGAACGAGGCGGTGGTGGCTGGCGGCGGCGCAATCGAGGTGACCCGCCTCTCCACTCCTCTCATTGGGCTTCTCTTAAACTGACTAACTGATATTCCGGTGCAGATGGAGCTGAGCCGGTACCTTCGAGAGTATTCGAGAACAGTTGCAGGAAAATCGCAGATGTTGATTGCAGCATATGCGAAGGCCCTTGAAGCCATTCCGCGACAACTTTGCGAGAACGCCGGCTTTGATAGCACTAATATCCTTAACTTACTGAGGAACAAGCATCACAACGGTATATTATTTTGTTTAACGTGGCTTTACTTTGCACACTTCCCACCAGGCGGCCTTTGGTACGGCATCGATATTACTACTGAGGGAATCGCTGACAACTATCAACGTTTCGTTTGGGAGCCCGCCGTTATGAAGATAAACGTTTTAAAAGCTGCTGCTGAAGCGGCCTGCGTGGTCTTGACGGTGGACGAAACGGTCAAAAATCCGAAGTGCCAAGACGACGTCTCGCAGCAGGCAGCACGAAAGGGCCGTGCGGGCGGAGTGCCACGGTAGTAGCGAAAGTACAGTTTATTAACTGTTTATATTAAAACTTACTCATGATTCCATACTAAATAATTAAAAATAAGATGCTTTGCTTTATTATATCCCAAATTTTCATGCAATATTGAAAAACTTTTTAGCATTGGCGGTGGTGTGCGCCATGACTTCTTTAACCGGAAGATCTTTGTGTTAAAGTTAAGACAACCGATAAGTAAGCGGACAACAGGTATACTTAGGCTTTCTGCGAGGGCGCTCACCACTTTCAACAGTGCGGCAGGGACGTTAGGATATTGCTTTTCAGCACCTATGCCTTCCAGATAACGTAAATCACTTCGGCAGCCAGCAAAGCCTTAAAAGGAATCAACGAGAATATTCAAGTAAGAGCGGTGGGCTTCTTACCCATATAGGGAGCGTCGGTTTCGATCATCAGTTTATCGAGAGGAACAAGCCCCTTTTTCAAGGCTCGGCGTAGCTCTTCGCCTGTTTAATAATCGATTATCTTAGTTGGGCTAGATATTTTTAAAAGTAGTACGCTTACTTAACACAAATACAAAGCTACTGCCACGGAAAGATAGTTTTACTTTGTCTACGTTTAGAATTATATGGCGTAAAGAATAAGCGGTGCAGGTCAAGCAACATCTCAACTCCCTGCTTGATATTAGGTCCGACAGGTTTTTAACTAAGCAAGATGTGCAGGGCGCCCACCCACGAAGTTTTTCATAACCAACAACTGAATTAAAGGGCTTTGGACAACGTTTCACCCCCTTTCCTTTATTTCCTTTATTGTCTTTTTAACTGAAAAGTTCTGAAATAACTTTATAGCCGTGCAGTAGTCTTTCCACTGGTAATTTTTTAAAAAGGGCGATGAATACCAATAACTTCTTCGCATAATTAAACATGGATACCACTATGAACCGAAAACCATAAGAGCAACAGTAAATCAGTTTTCTTACTAACCTGCACCGACTTTTCACAAGGGAAGTAAAATCGAAGTTAGTGTCACTGAGCACTTTGCTATGACCCCAAAGCACAAAGTTTTTAGTAGTGTGTGTTTATAAAAAAGCGTGTTAGCAATAGTTCTCAAATCATGCTTGTTAACTACTAAGAGATAGCAGTAAAATATACCTACAAGTAGAAGTACCGTTCTAAACTAGTTTAGAAATCAAGAAAAAATATGAATAGACAAAAATTGATAAAAATAGTCTTTTTACTATAAAGCTTAGGTCGAATAAGGATGGGTGAGTTCTTACGAAGAAGCTATAAAATTATTAATTTATATAACTAGACAAGCAAAATCAACAGCCTACCTGAAAGTCTTAAAGATTTTGATAATAATAATATACCCGCTTTAGTTCTTTTAATGAAACCAGAAATACTGACATAAAATCCGTATGATATATACTGCTTCAATTCTTCGCTCGTCCCCGTAAAACAGTGAATTAAAGTAGGAGGGAGGCAAAGTGTCTCGTCATTAAAAGCCCTTCTTAACTTTTTCAAGCAAGAAAAAAGCGTTTTTGCGCAATCGGTGAAAGCAAGGCGTTCGTGGATGAAGAGGGGCAACTTGTGTTTTATCGCTATAAAAAAGTATTACCTATTTTCATGCTGCAAAATTCTATAAAACCTTGGGTTATATGGAGTTCAAAAAGAGGGAGTTGAAACTTTTTATCGGGAAACCCCGAAGAATAATCTAAGCCTGTTAAGGATGACGTAAAATTCCTTGTGCTTAATTATTAATGAAGCTATTGCAATGTAAAAACCTGTTTCTCCGATCCCTTTGACCGGTTCAGTAAGAATTATGTTATTTAATTGTAATTCGGTCTCTCGCATTAGGGTCACAAATGGTTTATTATAACAGCTGGGAATAGTTAAATTTCAAATGAAAAAAATATGTTAGTTGCAGTGAAATAATGACTTGTAGGCTATATACTTAAGATCGGTGGATAATAATTTAGGATCCGCATTAAACGGGTGAATGCCAACAGTAGGAAAGACTGTGCCAACGTACCGTTTTGAAAGCTTTATGGATCGACGACTAGAACAGATATCATAACCTAACTTTTTAGATAAAAGTTTAAATAAAAAATAACACCCTGGTATCAACTGAATAAAATTAAAAAAAGCTTAAAAAGTAATAGACCAGGTACTATAAAATGTAAAACGCCTAATAACTTGGCTTCTCTAACATGTTCTTCTAAACTTTCGAAAAGATCTCCATGCAACAAATTCGCATCTACGTCAATCATTAAGGATCTCACAAACCTCAGTGCGCAACAGCCACGAATTTAACTGTAAAAACCACTACCATACAGCATCTACAGCGTGACTTCAGGAACTTTTTCTACTGCTACGCTGTTAGGGTTCCCCTGTTTGCCACCAACTTATCTGCTTATAAGTTTTGCAGATGCTCGCTATTTTCGAGTGGCGATTTCTTAATTTTAATTGTAGTAAACAGTAATTTACTTTATTATGTATATCTCTGACCTACAGTGTGTCCTTACTATGTATAGTTACAGGTTTCTTAAGAACAGCTCGTCTTGAGTAAACCTACGCCCTGAATAAGGTCCGCTTTCTGAAGTGGCAGCTAACAAAATAAATTTATAATATCCTAACGTGCGCTTTATCACATGGTAGTTAAGAGGGTTTAGTAATTTTTTACTCAGCAAAGCAGTTTTTAAGTATTTAATGGTATACTGGCACATATGCAATAGCCAACGCAATGATTTCGATCTGATATATACGACAGCGTCGCAGTATACATAGCTAAGAAAACCTTGTGGGGAAGAGAGGGAACATCACATGTATGTAAGAAAAATAATAGAGGTGGTAAGGAAGAGCCAAAGGCACTTCAACTTCAAGAATCTTAAGGGCGGACAAACCTTTTTATACCATACAACTAATGGCCTATCGTTAAGAAACTTAATACAACTTAGAGTATAAGAGGTTCTGGCATTTTGCATTTAATCAATATGTCCTTTTTTGCCTTTTAATATCTAAGAAAATTATAACTGTTAATACCTTGTACTTAAAAGCTTCTGTTTGATGTGGAGCGTCCTAAATAGTGTGGAGAAACTAGATTTACAGAACTGCCAATTTTGGAAGTTGGAGAATTACGGCTTTAGAACTACTTGGTTAGTAGACTTTAGCATAGCTGCTGGAATGGTTTATTTTTGGTACAGAAAGAACTGATTTTTTCCATCTTGTAGAAAAGTTACCCTAATAGACAATAGAATTTTTTAATTTTAAGAGGCCCCATAAATGCCACCGGAAAAAATTGTTAGCACCAGATTCGATACATTATCAGGTTCCTTACTTTTTCAAATATTAAATATAATGACAGGGTAAACCTACTTTTTATTCGTAGTCACTCGAGAAGCAGGGGGTAGCTCATCTTTTCGAAATTAAGATAACATTTGGTTACGAACGTACTATTCCTTTGTAGTACTAAAAAAATAGTGGGGTATGCAGTTAGGAGATGAAGTTTCTGTAAAAATATTTATTTTTTTTTGATAGGAATAAGAAATTTCTCTCAAGGATAACATAAGTCATTTTTGCGTGATTTTCAATATTTTTATCATTTCCCATTTCAAATTATTGGACGAGTTGAAAGCTCGTAGCTACATTTCTAAATATTGTGTTGTAAAAAGCAATTTAATTCACGTTTCGCATAACCTGTTTTGTTAAAGGCTAACTTATCACATTGGAGTCCGTTTTTATCTTTTCTTTTCAGTTGTCTACGTTTAGTAATTAGTTCCTTAAGGTGAGAGGTAGTAAATACACTTGAAGTTGTTATCATTATATGAGTTTTGAAGAGTTTAACAAGCTACTTAGCGTGGTTTCCATAGAAAAAGGCATCGACATTAACTTAAAATTTTAAAAGGATTTGAAATCGATGAAAAATAATTAACTATGCTGTTTTGAAAAAATTATTATTGGAAATCCCTAAGCTTGTAAGTCATTAACTAGTAATCATGTCGGGATATTTAAACCTTTAAGCCTTTAAAAATTAATTTAAAAAAAATGTATATGTACAGTGGAGACTTACAGACTTGAACTAAAATAAAAAAAGCACTGAAAAAAAATTAATACGACTGCCGTTTATTGAACCTTTATTATACACTAACAACTAAGCAATGACATAATCTAAATAATAATCATAAAAATTTCCTAAAAATGGCTCTCTGCGTTATAACTTATGGACTGGGATCTTTTCCTCAACAAACCAGACCATGTTTATACTTTTACAAATAATAATACCCTTCCTGTGCATGTATATTTGGTTATATTTTAATAAATTAATAAAAAATAAAATGTGGATAAGCAGAGAACAAATATAAATTAAATTTAATTATAAATAAAATGTTAAATTAAAATAAAAAAAAAGAAGAAATAACGCAGAGTTATTTTTATTAATTTTTTTTTCTAAAGTTAACATTCTACATGAGTGATCACAAAACCCTCAGCTGTTTAAAATCTATCTTCCCTCCGAATTAATAGGTGGGTGGTTTATAAATTACCAAAAAAAACAAAAGAAAGTCACGGATATATCTTTATTATTTAGTATATTATCTGGGACCGTAGTTTAGCGCTTCAACCAGCAATTTCCGATTAATGTGCGCGGCTTATTAAAAGGGTGTCTTGTACGTTCCAGTGGACAGTCTCTATGTAGCTAACTATTGCTAAAGAACCAAGGAGCATTTATAATTATTCGCAAGCAACCATTTTAGAATAATGTACTTTTCAAGTTTTTCCACTGAGAATAAACCCAGGATATTAAAGCATAGTTAGTTAGTAAGTGCATATAACTGGTGAGGTCTAAGTTGTGAGATTATGAATATAAGCTAGCCAGGGATGCTGTTCAAGAGATCTCTTTTTACTATCGCGTTGCGAGGTGACCTGCGTTGAGGAGCCTCTCTGGGCTAGTGAAATTAATCAATCATGATATATAGTTTTTGTACTTAATAAGCTTCATCATACCTCGGTCACTTAGGTTAGATGAGGTCCTCGTATACAAGCCATTTAAAGGAGAAGTTTGTTAGGTAATGAAAGCCTGCTTGAGCAGCAGAGAAGGTAATACAAACTTGTCTTAGCGTCATTTGCTTATTTTGTGCCATAGCCCACATAAACTTTCAAATTTAATTATCTACTTATAACAGACAGGTACTTGGTAGGAATCTTCCACGGTATAATTGGCCAAATAAAGTTAGTTTCCAAATGCGGAGTTTCTTTGTAGCCTTTAGAAAAGGCGCTGCTTTTGATGGGTTTATATATTTTTTTAATTGTTGAAATTAAGCTTCAAGGATGGGTAAATTATTTTGATTCCGCCGGGTGGCTAAAGGTTCGACATAGAATTGCAATAAAAAATGACGAGGTCGTCGGCATATTAAGCAATAGAAACTGTGCTTACTTTGGGTATATCGAATTTACCTTATAAGAAGTAAAGGGACAATTACGAAATTTGTGGGACTCCGGCAGTTTGTCTTAATGGAATGAGTTTGGCTATAAAACTTCCGATGGAGGGGAAACGGGTACAAAAGATTTCTTAACGAAATAAGAATATTTAATTGGATCAATTTGTACAACTACCCATACCTTATCAAAAGCCTTTTCAACATTAAGAAATACGGCTACTGTTTAATTTTTATCATAAAAGGCTTCAGTTACGTGCACATGAAACTTTAAAAGCTTTTGATTAGTAAAGTGTTTCTGTCGGAAGCTGAATTGATTATCGTTAATTATTTCTATTTCAAAAACGATTTTCTGTGATCTCTGTGGATTCTGCCACTTTCCGCAGGCACGACTAAAGACTGATAGGGCAATATTCATCAACTAATTGGCATTTTTTGCTATACTTTGGGAAACAACTTCTACAAGTTTTTAGCGGTCCGGAAAAGAAGAATTGTACCAAAGAGAGTTATTGATGTTGGTAATTTTCCCAAGTCACTTTGTTGTAAGCGTATAAAGTAGAGGTGGTGCTGAAATGGGGTTCCTTAGCCTTTTTTAAATAAAGCGACACCCTCGTGAACCATTCCTACTTGCTCCAAGTCAAGCTTATAAAAGTTAACTGTCATAATTTTTCTTTGCAGCAAAAAGAGGCTTTCCATCCGTTTTTAAAAACAGGATGGCGGACTTATAATTTGTTGGCGAACTTCAGTTGTATCTCCTTTATTAGAGGGAATAAACAGAGGTATTTAATGAGCTTATTGAAGGATCCCATAGATCATTATAAAAATCTGAGAATCTTTTTTAATGTATTGCTGCATTTGTTAAAACTACTCTACCTGGGGGAGGAGGGGGGGTATAAATTAAGCATGTATTTTTTCTCGACAATTTTCTTCTTTTCAGGAGATATTTTATGCTATTTGAAATAGTTATATGGAAAGCGAGAAACGCTTCTCTGTTGTAAAATTTGACAGTGAGGTAACTATTACTTCCTCAAGATGTAAAATAGTAGAATTTATTTGTCTCTGAAATTGGGATATCTACATGTCGGTAAATTATCATTTTTAAAGAAATTCCAGTTGGTAAATTTCTTAGGCAAACGATATGAATATTTAAAAACCGTTTTTATACGAGCAAAATAGGTTGTGGTCGATAGAAAGTTCGTGCAGAACGGAGAGTCAAACATGAAAAGTGTTTTTTTGAGTATCGCTATGCTAAGGGCATCTCTTGTAAATTAAAGTCGGTAAGTGTTAGGTTCTTTGACCTCAAAACGTTGGTTTTATTATGTGCGGTTCAGTCATCAAGCGATTTGGATCATATCGTTTACTATTTTAATGTGACTGCGTACAGCTAAGGTTCACCTTCAGTATATCCAGATCTATCTGATGTAGAGTGATATCTGGAGGTTATAAGCTGCGACAATTTTAATTCGGCCATTATTCTGCAGGTGTAGCCGTATACCATTAGCTTCAGGAGGTCTTTGTTTTAAAATTCGATTAATAAATGGGGGAAGTGTCTGCTAAAGGGTATTGGTACGACCTTCCATCTGCCATTTTTACGACCGCTCCTGAACTATATTGAATATAAAATATGTGTTACCATCCTTGAGACAAGTTTTTGAGATTAATAGTATATCAAACTTTATTCGTGTTATTAACTCGCATAGTCCATCTTTCTATTCTTAAACTCCGTTGATATCCTAAGATAATAATCTAAGATTTTTTAATGACTTTTTCAATCATTGGTGGCAGTTATGGGTAGTGAAAAG